AACCATGGCTGACCCACCAGGCTACATACCTTTCTCAAACACTTTAAGGAAATATAAAGATATAAAGATATAAAGTAACATTATYTATAATATATTTTTTGTCTTGTACTTTAGTTGGAGTATACTATTGACCATGTTGGTGGCAATAGTGGGAATGCTTACCACCATAGTTCCAGTTATCCGCATAGCAACCAGCATGGTAACTATGGATATAAACAACATCGCAATAGGTAATACTATTAAGTATATCTTTATATAATGTTGATTTATAATTGCTGTCATATAAATAGAGGATATTACATGGGCGCACGGAGATACAAATTTTATCTTTGAGTGTTCAATTGATATCTCATGAGTGAGCGCAGCGAACGAGTGAGATATCTAAATTGAACACAAGAAGATGAAATTTGTATCTCCACATGGCCATGTAATGTTCTGTTTATTATATAGATATCGATGAAGCTTAAATAAAACAAAAGCTCAAAAATTCTTTATTAAAATTGGTTGAAAAATACATTACTATGTCAACAGCGATTTCTTCTCATGTGAAAGATATGGTATCTTCCACTGGTGAAAGATATCAAGTTTTCGACATTAGAGAAAACCTGGTATTTCATCGATATCTATATAATAAAATACAATTCTTATCAGCCCAACATGTTCCCAGTTGCCTAGAAACGTCTGGCATTATGCATGACAATTTGCAAATTACACTGTTACAATGAATAATAACTGAACAATAAACGAGTCACTATAAAAGAAACATTGGATGGTTTTGATTATTTTTGTTATCATTATTTCCAGGGTTTTTCCATGCAGCATAAGTACACTTATCATGTGGGGTATTATTGCCTTCATTGTATACTACATCTACAGTACTTGCTCTGCCAATCAACAGTATCCTTTGTTAACCTTGAGACTTGTAGTTCTCAGTACTCGCAAACTATCACAAACTATCAAAAATCACAAACCAGAGTTGTTCATTTCAACCTTAACAAAATAAAAGTATGACTGACAGTACCCAGGATACATCTCAGCCAAGTACATATGGGACAGCTCCACCTCCCTATACTCCTCCTCCACCAGGGTTCAGACCAGAATATACGCAAGGTAAGGGTGGTATGAGGGGGAAGCAGATCAACCTTATAATAATCTAATCCTAACCCTTGATTGTGTATAGTTCAAGGGTAAAATATTCGGAGG